TACGGCCGTGAATCCAACACGTGTACCTTTTACCAGGACTATTTACAATTATGCTTACATTACTGAGTGAATGCGTGCTCGTAATCTGCGCTATGTATTTTACTGCACACTAATTTTATGGTTGTTGGTTGATTTACTTTATGGTTATCTGTTGTCGAATAAGTTTTTAATAACTATAATAAATACTTAGTTTAAGACAAGTGAGTAATGTAAAACGATTTTCGGCATAAATTCTTCCGATTCTATTCTATTCGATTCCTAAGTCACATCATTTTATTTATCATTGATGACTTAACGATAAATCAAATGACATATTTGATCAATCAGATGCACCCAAGCCATGGAAATTTACATACATGTATATTGTCTATTAAGTTGGAGATTTTTTAAAGCCAGCATTTTATTTATTTTTCAGATTTAATAATCTGTGGATTGGCGCGCAACTCGAAATTAAAACAAATTTTATTCCAAAGGAACGTTATTTTAATCTAAACTTCAGTCATTTGTTTTAGATAGTGTTTTGTTTTTGTGTAATTGTGGTAGTTTTTGGCGCCATGGATAAACTGAAAATTCGTGCAATTTTCGAATATGAGCTCCTACGTGGAAATACCGCTGCGTAAACAACACGAAACATTAACGACGTGCACGGGCCTAACATAAATACGGTCATTTATTGGTTCAATGGTTTCAGATCTGGTAATTTTGTGTAGAAGAACGATCCTTGCCGTCGGCCGGTAACTATAGTCGACAACGACGAATTGAAGGCGATAGTTGAAGCGGATCCAACTCAATGTACGGCTTATCTGCTGCGAGCTTTGGAGTTACTGTCAAAACAACATTGCATCAAATCGGAAAGATAGAAAAACTATATAAGTGGGTGCCGCACGAACTAAGTGACCATCAGCGAGACTTACGCGTCGAAGCATGCATAGCACTACTGAATCGGCATAGAAACGAGGGAATTCTGAATCGAATTCTTACCTGCGATGAAAAGCGTTAATTTCGTCGTTGATGGTGACTGTCTGGTGGACTTATTCATCAGTTTCTAACGGAATGGTACAAAGTGACGGCAGATGTCTATTGCTAAGAGTTGCAAACAATAATATAGAAACTCGCAATTCAACAACCACGACTAGTCAATCGCGCTTAAAGCTCACACTTTACCACAGACTATCGCAAAGCTACAAGAGTTAGCTACAGTTGAAAGCTCTCCGTCACCCACAGTACTTACCGGACCTTGTCCCGACAGAATTCTACTTTCTTCAAAATTTAGAATCGGCGAAAGAATTCTTCATATCGCGGTACAGTATTAGCAATTCTCATTAAGGAGTTACTCCGTAGTTCGGTGTGTATTCATTAGATGTGTAGTATGTTTCTTCGTTTCACCGTATGTGGAAGTCGTCACATATTTATTGAAGTATCCGTAGATATCATATCGAATGATTTTAATGGAAATTAAACCTGCCGTGAACAGGGGCGGATCTTGAATTTGTGGGGCCCTGGGCTAATACTGCTTAGGGGCCCTACCTAATTGCCATTCCCAAACAATTGCCATTTTGTCAAAAAACTGTTTTCTGTAGTGATGTAGGTATATATATATAATATATGTTAAGTACAGGAAGAAAATAGGAAAACAAAATATTTTATTTAATTATTAAAACATTATTTATTGCTAAATAAATTGACAGGTTATGAATGGTTATGTTATATAAATTATAAAGCAACCTTTCAGCATTTTTGTGCTGCAAATTCTTTTATTTGGGCATCGTACTGTAAGTCCTTTGTTAAATCGCAATTTATGGAAGGAACTGGTAAATGATTTAGTCGATAGTTCGACATTGTTGTCCTGTATTTGTTTTCTATATACGACATCCTGGTTTGGGAAAACATCAACAAGTTTCTTTTCATAAATTAGCCAAAAAATTTCACTGCAAGAGGTGTAAGACTCTGTCTTAGACTGCAGTAGGTAAGATTTTAACTGAATGCACTCATTCACTATATGTTCTTCTGCGTCATTTGGATAATAATAAATAATATGACGTCCACTTTTTAGATCTATATGTTCTTAATTTTTGTCTTGCAAATCCATTAAATTTTATTTTTTTGCTATATCTCATAGGCTTGGCTTCTATTATTTAAATATATATCGATAAGCGATAAGCGGAGGGAAGTCCCCAGTAATAGACAATACACGAAATACACCGACCGAAACAAGCGACAGGGAATTCCCCGTCCCGTTTGATAGATGCGCACAAGGGTGGATTGATCGCAGTGTTGCCAACCTTGTGATCGTTTTTTTTAATTCTAGATAATTTTTATTGTTGACAATATCGTCTATTGTTTCCAGTTCGGTTGGGGGCCCTCTGTACCCACGGGGCCCTGGGCTGCAGCCCAAAAAGCCTTTAAGTAGATCCGCCCCTTGCCGTGAAGGATTTAAAATCTTCAGAACATAGCAATGTTTTTAAAGACTATATGGAGTATAGAGGCAAGGAAAACCATCTGTGTATGAAAAGAGTCCGTAAAAATGCGGCCAATAAATGTGGCGCTGCGGTAGCCTAGGATAAATTTATATTGGCTTAAATAATAATTAGAGACTGTTTACTAGACTGCTATAATAGGCAATGAGTTTTACAGACAATAAACAAACGTGTAATAACTTTCAGACAGTAAAAATATTATAATATTTAACTCAGCACGCTTCACTTCGTCTACAACAGCCACCGACCTCTATTTTCAGCATACAGCTGGACGCTTTTTCAACTTTTCCCCAATATGAGATGTTCTCCTTGCTTCTACACTCCATTTTAAAGACCTATTGCTATCAAATTTTTTTTCTCAAGTATCCTATATATTTGAGAAAAATGTCTTGATCTTATTTTATCATTTTGTTAGCGTCCCCAATAATTCATTTACATGCTCATGCAAAAAAGAGCTGTCTGGTTAATACCAGACTGTTAGTACGCTAATGCCCGTAGGACGGGCAGACAGACAGACATGGTAAAATAAGGGTTTCTTGTTAGGACTACGGACCTCTTAAAACATTTAAAAAATGTCAACTCCAACCAAAGTTTAATTTTTTAAGTGGGAAAAATTGAACACCCGAGAGGCATTACAAAACGCTGTCGCTGACTTCATCTCCTCCTGTCCAGAAATCTATAGTAAAGGGATAAACAAACTGCATAAAAATTGTATAGATAACTTTGGTCAGTACGAGTACTTGGTGACGTGGTACGATTAGCTAAAATAAAAAAATAACCAAAAATTTTATATTTTAAAATTTTCATACAAATCTCCAACTTAGGTATTTACCTATGAAGGTAAGAACCTAATACTATTCCTCTGTTTCTAGAGTGTGTTTTAAGTTAACACTTAACAACTTCATACAAAAAAGGAGTTTCTCAATTCGGAATATTGTTTTTTTTTTTATTTAGAAGGGTATATTTCCCAAATAAGCAGTTTGATTTGATTTGGTTCCCTTTGACCAATTCAAATTTAATGAAAAGTACCACCCTTAAGGTGGAAATTTACGAAATAAAAAACACGGTTTAATACAATTGATCATGGTATTGGTGCATTGTAGAGAATTATACTCTTATAAAAGTTAATTATATAATAAGAGGTTTAAGATATGTAAGCAGAAGGATTCAATGAACGTAATCAGTATTCAGCACCGCAAATAATAACGAGGGTGGCTTTTCTTGGCTTCCGTTTGATCACCCGCACTGCTTTCTGTATTTATAATCTGTCATGCGTAAGCGTGGCACATACACATGGCATGGTGTTTTAATTCGCGAACATGTCTTACTCCTAGAAGGTACACATCGTATCTAATGGGAGTAAGGTTCTCAAGTTTAACAAAAATTCATAACAATATGATTTATTTGTATAGTATTTATTGCATGATACCTGTCTGTCATCGTCCTAAATAAGGTCTAGTCCTAAATAAGGGAACTTATACCCTTAAACCATCAAACATCATCATGTAAAAACATGCTGGGACTTGCAATCTGTAATTCGGTGCAGGTTTAGTAACATCTTAGAATCAAATAGAATCATTATGTGGATAAATCACAATTGCAAGTTAAAGCTAAAAAAGTATCTGATGTAAATCGCGCTTTTCATTACATTATGGATATTACGAAAGCGTTCTTTAACTTGAAAGAACTAAAAGGTTTATCGCACTTCTTAAAGATCTATATTAACCATGTCTCATTCCAGCTGGATAATCATTGACATCATTAAAATAATTCATTACTTCAAAGACAACTTCTTTAATGAAGTCATGACTACTTCTTTAATTTTAATTCCAAAATATGTAGTTGATGCTGGGTTATCAAATTTAGTACTAACAGGCCAATGTTGATTATGATTTAAATTCAAAATGCTACGAGGAAAATGTCTTGGAAATAAAACACTAGAATTATCCCGCAGCTTCTCTCACATTATAGTTAATTTCTGTCCTTCAGTAGTTTTTGGTAGGTAAAAGGTACCTCTTCTGTAGTTATGACACTGTGTTTTAAACATTTCATGACGCGCGAGCGAACTCTCATATTTGTACCTTACTTATGGTGTTAGTTACATTTAAAGTCTGCTGGTTTTGAAGTTAAAAAAATTAAGCTTCGAAGTTAACATTATCAAAAGGTACGGCCATAAGAGTTTTGTTTTGATTAATTTTATAAAAATTCGCATGTAATCACAACATAGGTATAGTATACTTGCCATCGACTTAATCAACCATCATCATCTATAATACAGCCGTTCATAATTCACTGCTGGACATACGCCCCTCCTTTAAGAGGTTTTGGCGACATGGTATAGTACCACGTTGCCATATAACGGGTGGGTATAGGTTTTGTGTCCATTTTTCGTTCTCTTTGCGGTGCTTGCTGTCCTACGTAGTTTACTCCCTTAGTCGGTTCTTAAGTGTTCTTTTAAACTTGATTGGTTCAGTAATTTGTTGATTGTATAATATTAAATAAATATGCAGTGCTGCCACTGACCGTGACGTAGGCGTGTTCCATGAAGAGAGGCTAGGTGTGGAGGCTGTAAAGTCATCCTCTTTCTTGCGGACCGCCCCGCCATGTTCTTTGTAGTCGCGGAAGCAGCGCTTACAGCGCGTCGGCCACCGCACCTGCGGGTGGAAACCCAGCGGACAGAGCGGATCGCCCTTGGCCAAAGGATACATATGATGCATTTTCACGGCAACACTACACTCAAATGCACTTAAAGAATGTCCAGGATTTCTCCTAAATGCCTCAAATCACCCTCAAACAGTAAGTCGAGTTTTCCAACTCTCTCACGCAGTCATTATAAAGGTAAGTAATAACCACGTATACGCAAATATTTATGGAATGAATTTTACGATTTCAATCTATTAATAATAATTTATTTAACCGCTAGTGTGTTCTGGCGATTGTAAGTACGTTTGCACCCAACAGTGGCAATAAAAATATCTCGCTGCTAGCACTGTTCCGGGCGACCTAAATCGGCCGCTCTGAACTCGCTACTAATTTTCAGACTTTCTAGGCGCGTAAACACTTGATTTTATCAGTGGAAGTGTTCTCGGCTTATGGCTCACCGCGTAAGCTATGGGACGTGGATGGCGCTCGTCCAGTTGTTTGCGCAGGTCACTCGGACAATACGCAATAGAAAAGTATCGTAATAAGGAGTGCTGGGTGCAAGCGCGGCGCAGGCGGCGGTGGAGCCGGCGCTCCGGGGACTGACGGAGGCACTCGCCGACACTCGCGGGCACGGCGCCAACGCTCACGGCGCGCCCGCTGCGCCACTTCTGTTACACCACACACCTCAGAACCGGTGCGAGTGTTTTCACCGTTTATAAAAATAAAACAGAGTTGCTAATAAAACGTGTCAAAGGAGTTGTCTCGTCGTAATGTAGATATAGCCGGATATGTACGGGTACGTTGTGACTGCACATTCGCAATCGGGGCATCTCGGCCACCGGTTCGCGTATGATTGATCTGCATATTATGTGTTTAGAACGACCGACGGTGGAAGTGAAAATAACACGAAGACCGGCGAAAATGTAAGTAATAGTTACTTTACAAATATATAGCCGGCAAGACAATAATAACTTCATGAATGAATGTTGACGTCAAAGCGCGTATTTTTTATAGCGCACTCCAAGAAGATGACTCACATAACTATGGGCCCATCTTCAAACTCAGTAACGTGAATAAAATATAGTAGTTATTAATATTTAAAATTTATTAAAACTGTATAAAATTATCTGTAATATGTATGAAATGTATATGCTACGAAGTTTGTATACTAGGCATTATTATAGTAAACTTAAAATCTATTAGTTTATACACATTTACATTTCAGACGTAAAAGAAATTGCAAGGAATAGTCCTTCTAGTTTATTTTTTTATAATTATGACAGCATACATAGATATGCTGTCATAATTGTGCTTCAAATGCAATATTGGTATTTTAATACCAATATTGTATTTGACGATAGCGTGACTGGAGACAACAGTGACACTCTGATATGATTTATTCTCTGTTCTTTACAGAACTAGTCTAAACTATTTACTAAATTTATTTATAATTATTATGCTCATAAGTAGACTTTTCTGGTACATAGTTTGGTAATAAAACAAAATTTAAGTCATTACTCACTTTAGTATGAATTTACTTAACTAAGTCGCTACCAAAGATTGACATATCGACATGACATATGCTATATTTATACAATACCAACAACTATCCAGAGCCTGGTGTGTAGCTACCAACTATTGTCATCGTTTGTTTTTCTACTAGTTTTATCGATTAAGTTTCATCAGAACCACATTGATCTTGAAGATAAATATATATGATAAGGAACAGCAATACGACAGTTGCCTGTCAAGTGAATCAGCTCGTCCAGAGTAATCGTAACGGTTTGTTCAATACTTGTACAAAAAGAACTTGACGTAATTTCTTGTTATTTACAAATACATTACAAACTTGGTTGAACAACTGGTTTTATGAGAATTGTTAAGATACCAATTTTAAAGATAGGCAACTATCCTATTGGTTTATTTATTGTAAACTAAAATATTAATTAGTTAAGGTAACTCCAACAAACAAATAAGTATGAACTAAATTATAATTTAAGCAACCTTTTCACAAAACCTGTTCTCACAAAGAACTAGATCGTTCTTTTGACAGGCTAAGTTTTGTAAAGAGATATATGTTTCATTTGTTTAGCAGAAGTCTCCATCATTGAGCGGTTCGTCTTCCTTCTTGTCGTACACAAGGGTTTTGTATATGACATCTTCAAAGTGAAGTGCATTTAAACCCTTGGGTTCTGCCACTTTGATCTTCACGTCGCCTGGATATAGGATCTCGCCTTTATTTTTAGTACAGCCCATTACTAGTGACTTTTGAAGTTTATCGATACAAGGTATTTCTGTGAAAGATAATATTGGAAAAAAATATTTCTTAGTATTTATTGTACGTATATATAATTTTATTTGGTACAGTAAACGTACATATCAAAAACCATAGGTCGTGGGTTCGCTTCCCACCCAGGACAAATATTGTGTGATGTGCTCGGTCATTTGTTATGTGTGTAATTTATTTATAATATTAATTTAGAAAATAAGTATGTTTCAAAAATAAAATTTATACTTAGTTTGCAAAATGTCGGCGTTTTAATAAAGGCTACCCCTTTGGGGTCAAAAGACTTGAGTGTAAATGTATGAAATAAAATGGATTTATTGTAGTTGTAGTTATGAAACCGCTGGTCTAGACGTATAAAAAGCAAACTGTTATAATAAGAAATTATCATTTATCAACTATATTTATTACGTACAAGCTAAAAAGCCCACGAAGTGAAATTAAAGCATTGCCATATGTTGATAAATGAGAAAGATAAAAAAGCGAAAGTTCTTATCACTCGATAATAAGCAAAATGTGTTTACCTAGATACAGACATGTTTACAGTAAAGTCAATAGAGATAACGTTTATATTATTTATTTGCTTATACTCAAAAGACATAATCATAATCCCCGAGTTATCAATACCTAAGTTTTTTTTTTCTTACATACTAAAAACACATAATGTAAATATATATGCATTTACGTAATATAATTATCGGTTTTTTGTATGAAAGTTGTTAAGTGATAGCTAAGAGGCGATAACTTGTTTGTTACTGATCTCACCGCCTATTTAGTGTACAAATTATTACCTACTCCGTATTTATAAAACCAATTAAAAAAACTACCTGAAAGTGCCTGATCTGTTTATTTATTTGAGTCAACTTTCGAGATAAACCTTTTAGAGTCACCGATATCAGAATTTTGTGAATTTGAATTGGATTATACTTTAATTAAAGCACATTGACTTGCCAGAGGTCGTGGGTTCGATCCCACCCAGGACAAATGTTTGTGTGATGAACAAAATCATTTGTTCTGTGTCTGGGTGTAATTTATCTATGAGATGTATGTATTTATAAATTTATAAGTGTGTTTATCCAGTCTGGTTACCACAATGCAGGCTTTGTCTAGTTTAGATTCAGACGGCCGCGTTTGAAGTATGTGAGGTTATTACTATTATTGTACTTATTTTTAACTCTGTTCTAGATCTTGCTGAAAACATTAGAGAATAGTAATAATAGAGAGTCTACGTTAACCCATTTGGAGAGTGTACTGTTTATAATATAACGCTAGAAAGCTTGGTAACTGTGGGCTATTTATGTGATATGTGATGATAAGACTATACAGACCTGAAGTGACGACCTTCTTGATGGGCGTCCCGAGGCCGGCTTCGATAACACGAACGTCGCGCACAAGTTGCTTGAACTCTGCCGGCGTTAGCGAACATACATGATCCGTGCCTTTCATTGTTTTGTCCAGGGTGATATGCTTCTCTAATATCTGAATTAGAAATTCACATTATATCGAGTAATAAAATTATACCAATTTTATGTGTAAAATCAAATTATTATGTCTAATCCCAGATCATATCTCATAATATAAATTATTTAAAATTCAGTTCGGATGTACTCTGGTAAAAATGTCATAAAATATATTCTCGTAGTAAAGAATTAGACATAGTATTGTTATCAAAAGTTAAATCTTTATTCTGTTAGTCTTAGTAATACTTTACTACGAGAATATATTTTATGACATTTTTGAGAAAGAGAGTAGATCGGCACTGAACTTTGAATAATTGTTTGTTTAGGTGTCAGCATGAGCGTTGCCCGCGTTCTTGTAGGTATACTTATTGAGTTCTCTTCACTTCTCTGAGAATTCTCGAGTAATATACACGATTGTCTTACTTACTAACAAAAATACTAAGGTTCATTATCTTCATATAATAAATATACTTTCTTTTATGAACCAGACGCACGCGAATTTATAGGCACATTTTAAGTTTGCCAAATCATCACAAAGATAAAGTTTGTTTATCTTTGCAGCATAAGTCGATTAACTATAAAATTCTATTTTTTTTTTAAAGACAACACCCGCATTAGGAATATATCCTGTGTTGCAGGGAGCTATACAAACATACATGAAACGGACACAAAGAACACCCATACTCAGAACAACAATTTGTGGATCACACAAAGTGTCGTCCCATGTGATTAATGTAGTGTTAGAAATATACAAGTATCTAACATAATCTAAACTTAACAGAAATATTTTATCTTCCTATATAATCAAATCTGATTATGAATGCATATTAAGGATGTCACCATAACCTTGAAGGTTTTAGGTGTTCAGTAAGCAAAGTTACCTTAGCTCCTAATGCGACGGAGGCTAATCCTACAGCCGTACCAACTTCTTGTCCAGAATATCCGATCGGAATGTCAAACGTTTTCTTATAGTCTTGTATCACAGTCAGATTACAGTCTTCATATGGTACAGGATATGCCGAAATACAATGCAGTAAACAAAACCGCTTATGTTGAGCAGATACAATGTCATATATTGTTTTAACGGCAGTCTTGTCAACCATACCGGTTGAAATAATGAGAGGAATGTTCTTTGATGCGGCGTACTTCAGGAACAACAGGTTGTTCGAGTCACCTGATCCAATCTTAACGAACGGCACTTTCATGTTGACTAAGAAATCAAATGATACCTGAAAATAAAACATTTGCTTATACTTCTACTTACAGAGATGGGTGTACTGGGGGAAGCTAATTAAATCAATGTTAAGTCAAATTTCTTACTTGGTACCCTACTCCCTGGGCCGCTAAACAACTGTTTGTTGCTTTCCATTTTGTTTATTGCTTTTTTTTATTTAAGTTCTCTTCTCTCTTTCTTAAGTTCTATTTAAGTCTCAAAAAGGATTTCTTATTTCGAACAATTTTATGCATTTTGTAACAATAAAGAAAGCGGGTGTAATTTAAATAATAAATGATTCTCAATTTTCTTTGACTGGTAGGGTCTAGAACCTGAGATAAGGACGTCAAGTAAACAAAATTATCAGATTTATAATATTAGTTCACATATAGTATTTACATAAATACATTAGTTCTAGCTATATATTTTTATCATGGATTTGATAACCGTCAAGTGCTTGAAATGGAATTGTTCGTATAGACATTGCTGCACTTTGCACCGTGATAAAGCAAAGAGAATTCGCGGTTAACTCGGAGACTCGTGTCAAAATAACTAACAGTGTAACTAATAGCGTTGAGAAAACCACCCACAGTGCCACTATCTACTTACCTACGTATGTATTTTAAGGGCATGTACCTACCATATCCATGGCTGATGCAGTGCATAATATGCCCACTTCGTGAGCGTATTTGAACAACTCCCTGTATTGAGTTTCGGAAAATTCCAAGTGCTTTTTGTGATCGCCATACGTTTCACCCCAAGAATTAGGATTCTTATATGGTCGTTCTAAATATTTCTTTGTGAATTTCTCTTTGAGGCATGTCTTTTGAAATTTAACACAGCTGGCCCCAGCATCCTGTAATTTAGCACGTCAAAGCACAAAGTCAATTATATTGGCTACTATGTTTATGTTAACGTTTTGAAACGAGTTTCGACGTACAAACATAAAGTATATCTAAGTGGAGTGTATCATTTTGTTATGATGACATCATCGATAATTGAAACGCGGTAAAATGAGAAATATTTATTGACAAACACAACAATTTACTTTATAGAATTCTCGATATTTCTACCTACTAACGACTAATATGAAACAACGCCTAACAATTACATAAAATACTCAAACTGGTTTTGTCACGGTAACTTGAACGATTTTGTAGATGTAGAAACTAGAATGCAGCAAGCTAATAAATGGTTAGAGTAAAGTATGAACGTATAAACACTGCCATTGTTTTGTTTTCGTAAACAAAGACGTAGGTAAACAATCGTTTTGCCACAAAAAGTATCAGTTGAAAGGTGCTTACCTTTGCCGCTTTTATAAGCTTTTTTGCTATTTCGATGTCACCTTGGTGGTTTTGTCCGACTTCCGCTATAATGAAACATGGATTGTTGCCGCCTATTTTGACGTCGTCTGTTATCTTCACTTCAACCATGTTTATTGATTTGCTCTTTCCATAAATCAAACAAAACAAAACCGGCTTTCGTACGAGAGTGCGCGTAGGCTAACACTGACACTATGTAACGAAAGTTTAACGACCTTTTGTTCAAGATCAAAATGGACAAATAAGGTCAATTCAATAAAAAGGCGAGCAGCTGGTAGCGCGCCCGCCGCCCGAGTGTGCGGCCTGTGGAGCCGTACCCACTAGAGTTGTGTAGCTCCTGAATGAGTGATATAAAAGATATATATCATTCACGACGATAAAATGTATCACTCACTCACACTAGCTCCGAATATATCAGTAACTCAGTACTAGCTCACTAGATCATTAGATCACTAGCTCAACGACGCCGATCATTGTTTCATGAGCGAGTGAGACTAAAGATAAATGAGTGAGATAGGTGATGGTTGAGTTCACGCAAGTTTCTTTATGCAAAATGTACATTATTTCTATAGGATCAAAGTTTAATATTACTTAAGAATTAAGCCTGCCAAGTATAAGGAAAATCAAATTATGTACGATGTCTATTATACAACCTAAAAAAAGTACAAGAAATAATTTCTTTTTTTAAATATTATATAAAAGGGTGTTAATAATTATGTAATCTTATCAAAATGAATTAATTTAATCTAAAATAAAAGGTTAAGAATGTAGTTTCAAAAACTGAATTTAGGTTAATATGAAAATAAAGAAAGGTTTGTATGGCGAGAGAGGCTTAAAGTGGCTTAAAGGCTTAGATGAAGAAATGAATTAATTGAGAGACCAATCAATTGAATCGGATCAATGAGCTAGTGAGCTAAATGAGTTGGTGAGCTAAATGAGTTGGTGAGCTAAATGAGTTAGTGAGCTAAATGAGCTAGTGAGCTAGATGAGTGATATATATCTTTAGAGCGAAATGATATGTATCAATCTTTTCAGCTCAGTGATACATTTTGCGCATCACTAGTACCCACTGCGCATGATAATTGATAAAAACTAGTAAGTAGGTATGTACCGACGTCCATGACCACAATAAGCCTTGCACGTACGCCTAGGTAAATAATGTGCACACTGTATATTATAATACATATTTATTGAGTATACATTTTACAAAAAGTTTCTTAGTAAGTACTTAAATTTCGATGTTATTTAACAAGTCATCCAGACTTTGGCTTTAAATACAACTTAATGTAGGTTTGTTCAAAGGTCACATGAGGCTATTTTAACAATATCTTCTTGTTTCTTAAATCTGTCGCCCAAGGCACGATTGACTTTTGAGTCTGTGGGTTTCCCGAGATAGTTGGAAATGTATCGTCCTGCTTCTATAAGTTTGACTAGGTCTATATTTGTGTTTACGCCAAGTCCATATAGGAAGTAGACTAGGTCTTCGGTGGCGAGATTGCCGCTAGCGCCGCGCGCGTACGGACACCCGCCCAGCCCCGAGATAGATGAGTCCACTGTTTTTATTCCAAACTGCAAAACGAAGTTGTGTTAACTGATTGCGTAATTATTTACAGAATGGGTGTGTGCGGTTCTAATTGCTTCATGTGTGAGTATTAAAAGTTAATAATCAAGTTATGAGCACAATATTTTCTTCCGATAACAATGGCAACAAAAGAGTTGTTAACAACCGCTTACATATAAATAAAATTAATATACTTATGACATTATACAAAATATAGGTAGGTATGTTATACTTTACACTAATTTGGGCTGTCCGCTGACGTGATATATTTGAATATTTAAAACCAAGTACCTACCTAAGAAAAAAAATAGTTCAAGTACTTGAACTATTTTTTTATCTTAAAAACTATATTTGGCGGGAGTCTAATTTACATTTATCTAGCTTACTTGAATGATCTGTGTTAGAGTAAATTATTTTGAGATAAACCGACTACATAACTATATATCTATCTTCAAAGCTTTCATACACATTTTTAATAATAAATAAGTAACCCTTATTATATATTACCTACATATTCTTTCTCGTATTCAAATTCACACTAATTTTTAACAATTAAAACCGATGAACGAAAACGAATAACGTTAATTATTAGAACTGTCATTTTAAAACCATTGGAGGAAATAACGTGCAATGCACCCATATAACAGACAGTAATCGTGACGCAACCAAACTCGTGTTCCGATTTCATCATCCAATTGCTATATACTGATAAATTTCATTTGACCTATGTTGATTTCTACATCTTTACATGAAACTAGCGAGAGGTAATCGACATTGAGACCAATAATTATTATGTATATGAGCATAGTTGCATGCTTAGATGTGTATGAAAGGAGTTGCATATTTTTTACTAATGCAATTTAGCCCGATAAATCGTGATAAATTTACTTAATAACTTACAGTATCATATGGCAGAGATATCATTATTAGGTACCTACCTACTTACTTAATTATTTTAATTTAAACTGTTTCGAAATAGATATATATGTATATTCAAGCCTAGAATAGACATTATTTTAAGTATTCAAGTATTTTGTGTAATTGCCGAGAAATACCGTTTTTTTGTTTTTTTCTATCTGTGCAGAAATCCGACCGTGTAGACGATCCCCTCCTGTGTGGGAACCCCTATTGTGCTCCCGAAAGGGCGCGCGCGCTCCGCAGCCTGTCTCGCCACCACCCCGGCCTGCGCTTATGGAGGATGAAGGTCGTTCTGAAACCTCCAGCGCCTGAACCGTCTGTGGTATCTGGCTCGCTCCGGGGCCTGGCGGACAGGCAGAGTTCTAAACCTCTCCAGGTCCCGCTCCGTCATCTGTTTCGCAAGCATAACTTGCTCGCAGAAGGAGACGGCGGCGTGCTACGCACCTTCGCTCCTTACCATGGCGGCAATCATACGGACGTTCCGACTACGATATTTGTATTTTTGTACAATCAATGGAGAACTTTAATCCATTGGAACTTTTTTATATGTATCTACTTGTGTTGACAGCAAATTACGTAATTTGCCCTAGTTGCACTATGACTAGGGTGTAAAATGATTAAATTAGCCTATTCGTCATACAGTCTCTTTATTTTGTGATTTTCCTTTACGAATAATAACAAAAAGAACAATGGCGGGTCTCCATACAGAAAAATATTTGGAATAAAATTGCATCGTCTTGTAGTATTTTTTTTAAATTCGGCTTTTTTTAGAATCTTTGTGTAAAACAATTCTTGTTTAGGAAAGGCTAGAGAAAAAGATATTGGCATCTGAGTTTTTTTGTTACAAGTTGCATTTTTTTAGATGTGGATTCTTTTTAAAAGAGGCCACATATTTGTGGTCTCTTTTAAAAAGAGTCTTTTATAACATAGCAGCATAATATTCCTTTATTTTATCAATTTGTCTATGGCTATCGACTTCTCAAATTGTTTTTGTATTCAATTCAATTCAATTCAATTCAATTTATTTGCGATAATATGGGTTATACAAAAAGAAAAAAACAGGTGGAAAAGATACAGCTAGTTTCACCATATTAAGCCGAATGTCACAGCATGCAAAAATTAACAATAATTATTGATTATAACAAAATAATATCCAATACTGTCATTTTCTAAATAATAATACAGTTCTTAAGTTAAATAATACATAATAAACAAATAATAATAAATACAAACTATAATATGTCAAATTAATACGTCAAAATTTCTGTACTGATGTATGTCAAAGGAAGATGTAAGTAGTGCATTATTTACATCATTCTACATATTATCTTCCATGTATTCTTTTACCGAATAATAAGTTTTACCAACTAGAATAGCATGTAACTTTTTCTTAAATAAAATTAAGTTCTTTTCATTTTTCAAATCTGATGGTATCTTATTATATATTTTTGGGCCCATGCAGAATATACTTTTATGAAGTAGTGCAGTTTTAGATGGTCTAATGCATAATTTGTTAATATGACGTTGCCTTGTACGGTGTTCAAATAAATGTAAATTACACTTAATAAATATAGCTGTTTCGTATACATATAAACAAGGTAAAGTTAGAATATTTAGCTTTCTAAATAAAGGTTTACATGAATCTGTTTGCTTAAGACAGGAAATAGCTCTAATACACCGTTTTTGTGCTCTGAACACACAGTCCGCATTGGTGGAGTTACCCCACAGTATAACACCGTAGCGAAGAGTAGACGATACATATCCGTGGTACGATGTTAAGGCAGTATAAATGTCGACAACTTTAATGAGGTTTCTTAAAGCAAACGAATAACTATTTAATTTTTTACATACATGCTCTGTATGCTGCTTCCATGACATTTTATTGTCTAAGTAAATTCCTAGAAATTTCGTGCTCTGTACCTCTTCTATTACTTGCTCTTTATATTTGATATTTATTTTTTGTGGTGATTGCCTATTCCTAAAATGTATAGATTTGGTTTTATCGAGATTGATTTTTAAATTATTACTCATTAGCCAGTTAATTGTATTTTCTAATGTCTGATTAATATTGTCAAGAATGTCATTTATTTTGTATTTTTCAAAAAGTATAGTACTGTCATCGGCGAAAAGAGTCATAGAGTTAGTCGTAACTGTTGGAATGTCATTAATGTAAACTAAAAATAACAATGGTCCCAAAACACTGCCCTGAGGTACACCACATGTGATATGTCGCAGACTAGATGAATAAGTCGTCAAAGTTATTGTTTGATAATTATGTATAACTGTATGTTTGCCATGTGACAACTTTCGTAGGTTATATTTTTATGTCACTTTTAATGTGACTGATGCATATTTCATCATCTTATACATATGTACATCTGCATATACAATATCCAATAATTCCTTTTCCTTAATTTATTACCTATTTCAACATGTAATGAATTGTAAATTCTAAACCTAAACTAATATAATCGGTGGCGGCCATTCGTCGCCTGTCGCGTCAGACGTTTAGTCTTTATATATAAAGACTAAACGTGTTTAAATATATTTAAACACAGAGCGCAAACGTCTGTTAAGAGTTGTCAAAAAACCTTTCCGTTTTTTTTGACTTGCAGTTGCCACTTTATTTATATTTATTTACTTATATTCCACTACGGGATTTACAAATACGTAAGTAATGCGTTTAATATTGCACCACAAACTACATACTAAAGTATGATTGATTCAGTCCTTAGAATTATAAAACTAATATCTGATTACCATATTACTATTAAGTGATTACCATTTTACGACACTTTATTAGATAGTATTTATAACAGTATTTTAAAAAAAAATGGCTGTCTAATGGTAACACTAAACTGATAAAGGAAATTAAAATAATCAAATACGCTTATAATATTTTTCTTTCTTTCCCTGGGGTTTTACTGACTTAGACGATAGTTTCAAAAAACGTAGATATTTACTAGAATTACTTCCCTATGAATGACATTTTAAGACGCTCCAATTATACTCAACTACGAATTCTTTCTTATACCAATAAAAAAAAAACTAGTAGCAGCACCTTTATTTTTCTTTTTTTTTTAAACCCAACCTCGGCAGCATTCATATAACATAAAAATATTTTGTTCACTAAGTGTTTTTTTAGACCTTAAATTTAGTTTACACCACCAGTGTGGTAGAAGGAAACAAATAAATTTATTTTTTTACGTAAGGAAGCTTCTTACCACAGTATCTAAATGGCAGTAATATTTCGTAATTGCACCTTAAAGCCTTAGAAGTAGAGAAGTATTTATGAAAAAAAATGAACAGCCTGGATAAAATGTATTGAATTTGCAAGAAAGCTACATAGATAAACACATTAGGATATAAAAAAAAATTAACAGATAAGGTGTTCATGACCGGACACGTTCTTAAATTTTTATTTCTTATTCTTATAATATAATTATAGTTTGTTTTTCAGTATTGACTATCGCAGTATATTACCTCGAGTCCTGCCAGCAAATTTGACAGCGCCTGTCCATATGTATCGTGGAAATGCAATGCAATTTGTTCTGGTTTCGCGACGGTTAGTACTTCACGAAGCATCTTCTTTACGGAGCCTGCTGTACCCACTCCGATAGTGTCACCTAGGGACACTTCATAGCAGCCCATAGTTAACAGTTGTTCGCTTATCTGCATAAAAAATAACATCACGTGAAATCTTATACACGAATTAAAACTATAAAAATTTGTGAATCACCTTAAAAATCACCCTAGTACCACGTATTTTTTATTTAACGTTGTTTTTTAAAAGAAAATGTGAATTTATTTCAATTAACATGATTTTATCGAAAAAGGTAGTCTTCGATAAAAGGGGCAAACTTTTTTTATGGTATAGGGAGGGGCGGGGAACACCTGCACACCTGCGACTCAAGAGTCACAACTGCGTTACTGCCCTTTGAGGCTCACTCTTCAGAATCAGGGGGAGGAAGCGGAGCATTTAGCATTTTAATCTTAAGTAGGTATATATGTTATACAGGTCTCTCGAAAAAGTACATTTAAAACACATGGAGGTCTGATCCCAAACTAGACCAACCAGAGTCAGTGCTATGGTAACCAAGACTGCTGATAAACTTACTTATACATTCTCACTTTGACAAACTGTTTTTACAGTTTGGCAGACTTTAAGCATGAAAAAATATGTATTATAAATGTTTAATAAAGAGAAAAAAAAAACTTTTTACGATTCGTTTGTCAATAAATTTATTAATACGGGATTTGATGCGATCAATAACTACATATTACATATCTACCTTTGAGTTGCCTGATTTTACGACCAGGTTGCACTGGCCGTGGTCTCAGTGGGTGCAATAACTATTGATGGTAATGTTCGTTTTATAATAATATGTCATGAAGCGCAAATACAATTTTAAAGTTCATTTGGCAATATTTTTTTGTTATCATGTGACAACATGTAATTAGGTCATTCAAATCATGTGTTCAGACCATTCGATTGCTTGACAATTTATTGAAAATTGATTTTCACAATGTCATTTTGCTTTTATAACTCATTGAATTTACTAATGTGTTCTAAGTTAACGACGTGATAAGGAATATTTTATAATAACAATTCAGAATGCATACTATTTTATAAAATGATCATGCTAGTATAGCAGTCTAATATAATTAGAAGGGGGGCCACAATTAAAAACGAATAGTATGTATGTATTAAAAAAACACAAAGATACATGTTTATCGCCATTTTAGAATCCATAGCACAAGCTCTGTTGTTTGTCAGGACTACGAGTCTATAAGGCAATATTTTTTAACAGAATTTAAAACTGCTGTTATATCATGCAAGTCCTGATGACAAAGGTTACCTTCGCAACCGCTTTCGGATGTACAGGTCCGTCATAAGGGCAGCCAACAATGCAGGACACATATCCCCTGACCCTCAAACCATCTTTAAGTGCTTGGTCAACCACCAACTTGAATCTCGCTAGGGATTCTTCAACGGAACAGTTTAAGTTCTTCTGGGAGAATCCTTCAGAGGCCGCTGGAAATATCGCCACTTCTTCTATATTGCATTGTTTCTGGAGAAGTTCAAAAATGTTCATTTTCATTTCATACATAGATTGAGACATTATTTTTAGACATGGATAGACATTATTCTAAATTAAAGAGTATTAATAAAACTATGTAGTGCAAAAAGACTGATTTGATTACCTATTTAAAAATAGGTTAGTTTCACTACCACAATGTTATATTTAAAACTCCGAAGTGTTTTTTTCTGACTTCCAGTGAATGATGCATTGATGTTTCTCACAAATTGCAGCTCGGTATCAATGGGTTTAAAGTGCGGAGGTGTACATCCTGAATGTATTACTTTTATATATATAAAAGCAGTTAGCATAGACATAAAAATTATTTAGTCTTCTACTCAAAGTTCCGTTTAAGTCCCGTTACACTAACAATAAGAAAGAAATGGAAAACTAACAGATAAAGAGTAAAAGCTTACGGCAATTTCGTATCCTTTTAAATTTGGCATCAGAACTGGATAGTTGACACCGGGAGCTCTCTTCAAATTCTTCATGACGTCTACTCCGTCGCTCATTTGTTTTACCCATTTTGGGCTTACGAAGCTGTGAAATAGTGGAAGGTTTATAACATTTGTGTACCTAACATGTATGGGTATATTAGTCTCGGTGGTTTCTAGCAGGATTACCTAATTTATATGTAATGAATAATAATCAACAGCCTATAACAGTCCACTGCTGGACATAGGCCTCTCCTTAGAAAGGAGGTTTTGGCCTACTAAACCACGCTGGCCAGACGGGTTGATATAGGGTTTGTTTCAAGTTTTCCTTCTCTTTGCAGTGCTGTTATCCTGAGTAGTTTGCTCCCTTAGTCGGCTCTTACGACACCCACGGGATGAATAGGGGTGGTGACATTCCGTATTCTTAATCCGTCACTTCGTCCGTAATGAATGACATATATGTATATATATACATAAATTGAGAAATAAACTAAGCTCAGAAATCGCTATATAACGTGCTTCTAACAGTTCACTATACATTTACTACTGCAATACCTACTTATATAATATAATATAACGTGCTGCTAGCAGTTCACTATACCATTCATGAGAAAGGATTTGAAGTCTGTTAAGTTCTCTTATACATAAAAACAAAAACTACAATCAGTAAAACTAAACTATGTTACTATAAACTTATCTTATTTTTCATTTGTCGATTAACCTGTAATCCCGTGACCGCCTACTGTAGTGTACTAATCATTATTTCAACACAATACAGGATGCGTTGACATTTAATTAAGTTTGCGCATGCTGACAACTATGATCTTATGATGTTCATATATAATCGAGGTAAATAAATGCGGTAAATCATACACTTTAAACAATTGTATATTATACAACAATATTATCTCATTAATATAACTAATGATATTATTCACACTAATATTACAAATGAGAAAGTGTGTCTGTCTGTTACCTCTTCACGCTTAAACCGCTAAACCGATTTAAATGAGATTTGGTATAAAGATAGTTTGAGTCCCAGGATGGAACATAGGATAAGTAGTTTTTATCCTTTAAGAGGGTAAAAAGGGGAGTGGATATATATGGGGAATTAATAACCGCTTAACCGATTTAAATGAAATTTGGTATGGAGATAATAAGATAGTTTGATTCTTGATTACGGGCATAGGCTACTTTTTACCGTGATAACCGACATACATACGGGCGGAGCCGCGGACAAAAGCTAGTATCCCATATCAGTGATACTTAGTATTTTTGTAGATAGGTATTTCTCATGTACATATATGTACCATAATTTCTATTATTTATAAGTCATGATTGTTCGCCTCGTTAATGAACATTATCTATACATAATTTTAATTATGAACATGACGTATACATACTTATGTCACAGACACGTTTACAAAGTTTAACACCCGATGTGGACCTGGAATTGGCAAGATTTGTAAATATTGCGTTTAGTCACTGCGGTCAATTACAATATTTTGGAATAATAGCTATACAATGATGTGTACACGTTATAACACGTAATAATATATTTCTTATATTTAAGGCTGGCTGTACGTAATTTAAAGATGTGTATAAGCCTTATTGTTTAGCTCTCATTATTGTGGCCTTTTTGTATTTCTCATAAAAAGGTTAATACTTTGCGCAATATGTAAAGAGATAGATTTAATGCCAGATATTATCTGCCAGTCTACCTTAGAAATGAATGAAGTAAGTATCTGCATTAAGACGTATACAAATAAGTTTCCCTCGTTTTTACAACATATTTTATTGATACTCCGCTCCTAGTGGTCGTAACGTGATGGTATAAAGCCTATAGCCTGCCTCGATAAATGGGCTATCTAACACTAAGAATTTTTGAAATCGGACTAGTAGTTCCTGAGATTTTAGCGTTCAACCAAACAAACAAACTCTTCTGCTTTATAATATTAGTATAGATTGGATAAGCAGTTATTATACGACTATTACTCGATACCTTTTGTCTTTGTTTTATTTATTATTTTATTAAATAGTTAACACTATTAATGATCAATTAATCGAAACAAGTTTACTTAATTTATTCAATAACAGAAAATTCCATATTAATAATGAGTTGTTTATTGGATTACCCTATCCGTTAGGGAGGTTTTTAATTCTATAATAACATCACGCTTCCACCCTTCCGACTCGGACTAAACGTAGGGACTAATTCTGTAGACGAACAATTTTTTTTTAATTCGGATCTTTCACAGAAGTCTAGTTTTATGTAGCCTCCACCTATAAAACGTTATATATAATGAAAGTATGTGAAATACCAGTAAGTACTATTGTACGACTTTACCTTTCGCTACTACATACTAGTACAATTTTGCATAAATATTTAATAAATTATTCATTCCGGTTCACAACAATGTTGGTTACCAAACAATGGAACAATAAAGAATTGCACGTACTCGGCCCACAATCATTTTAGGTTGTAAAAAATAATATTTTCGAAGAATGTGAATGTATAGCACCTATATCATACAGTTACTACTTTATAGGCGGCGATGTAAGTGTATGTAGATTTATAACAGTTTCATAATCTAACAGACAATATTCGGTTATAATTACCTACACGTCTAGGTCACTTTCATTTATTATAAAATGAAGTTTATATTTGGAATTCGAATATTTCAGTTTCGAAGATTGTAAGTAAATTTAGGGTAGGTAGGTGCATTAAAATTATAACTACTAGCTTATTAGCTAAAGTAAAGGTACCTACTTAACGAATAGAATAGAATGACGGTGCTGTACAGGGAAGCCGTCTATTATGAAAATTGCTAAGTAGGTATATTAAAGCGAAATGTATTGGAATTGAAGGCGTTCGACTTGTCTCTTCAACCGAGAAGTAACTGATGTATAAGGTTAGGTATAAGATAAAACTATTTTGTCTACAGTTGATTAGGTTTGCAGGGCTCAATATGAGAAGATGGGAGTAAAGGTAGGCAATGCGTGTATAAAGAACACGAAGTAAAAACTCCAAGGAAAGGAATCTTTTAAATAATGACATAGCAGCTACTAAACAGGTAACTATGAAACTGTTCAACTATCCTTTAAGATATGTTGCTACACAAACAGGTAACAATGAAACTATTCAACTCCCCTTTGAGATATGTTACTAATAAACAGGTGACTATGAAACTATTCCACTATCCTTTGAGATATGTTGCAACTAAACAGGTAACTAAAAAACTATTCAAATATCCTGAGATATGTTGCAAATTAAACAGATTACTCTAAAACTATTATTTGAGGAATACTGCTATAAAACAGGTAACTATAAAACTATTCAACTGTCCTTTGAAATATGTTGTAACTAAACCGGTAACTATGCAACTATTCAAATATTCTGATAGATATGTTGCAACTAAACATAATTTTATAAAAATATTTAATTATTCTTGGAGATATATTGCTACAAAACAGCTAACTATAAAACTGTTTAACTATCCTCAGAGATAACATAGGTATGTAATGTTACAATTAAATAGGTAACTAGCACAGTCATGTACCCCTTGAGATATTTTGCTACCTAAATAGGTAACTATAAAACTATTCATTAAACTATGTTTTGAGATATGTCACAAATAAAAAGGTAACTATGTAACTCTTGAACTACCCTTTATGATATTTTTTGTTCAGTGTTTCATACCTGCCAAACAAAAGTTATGCAAAATTTCTTGCAGAAGCCACTTAATTTACTTGGCATTCACTTGAAAGTAACAAAAGAATTTCTTAACAACACTTTTTTGTGAGGCAGTGTTATCCCACAGGTAACGTTGAAACATGGTAATGCCTTGTAACATTTAAGTCTATTAAAATATATTGAAATATGCCTCAAATTGCCATTGGATTGCTGAAGTGCTGAATTTTGCAATAGAAACAAAATTTGTAAAATGACTGGTTCGTAAAATTCAAATTTTTAAGAGTCTGATGACATCAAAGATTCAAAACTATTTCATTCCAATTCTTATGGTTACTTACACTTAATGATGTAACACAATTCTAGCTTATTAATTTGTTAATAATCTCCAATACCTTTTGACTGGAGATAAAATTATTACCATAATAATATACCTTGCCGATTCAATATCTTTTAATCCAGCAGCTACTAGTTTATTTATAAGTTCTATTTTAATATCAGTGGGTACAAATTTAGATTCATTCTGAAGGCCGTCTCTAGGTCCAACTTCATAAATTCTGATTTGTGAGGCTTTAGCGCCCTGAAAAAAATACATACAACAATCCTATTAAATCAATTCTAATGTGAAAGTTGTCAGTTAAATGCACAAAGGTACATTTTTATGAATAAATATGATAAACTAATGATATTATTACAATAACCTGCCACAGTTTGCCATGACTGATTAAGTTCACTTTCTAGAAAACATTTTACAACTTTTTCTACATGTATAAACTACACCCTTTGAGATATATTGCAAGAATGTTAATTTAATGTTACACTCAGCAAATGCATGGGCCTGCTCATTTGTATTGTTTTATATGTGATATTAGTGGTCCAGATTTTCTCTTCTAGTTTTAATGATTTCATTTAAATGTTTTTATACTAAGTACCCACATCAATTAAAGACAATATATTATTGTGTACACTGTAGACATAGAGGTAGACTATGCGCCTTGGAAAGTACATACTTTGTATGTGGCAGTTCAGTTGCCTGAAGAATATAAGGCATACTATAACCAGTATTAACTACAAACAATAATAATCTAACTTCTCTATACATGATCTAGGGAATAAAGATTTAAAGTTTAGTGAAATCATTGCTAACCGTATACATGGATCTACTTACAAATCTACGTTGTATTAAATTTCTCATTAGTTTCGATTTGGTTGTGGTTGATCTTGTAATTTTATTCATTTTAACTAAAGTTTCGAACTAAACTTTCCTTAACGGTTTAGTAACTATGTGGTTTATCTACCTTGCATAATAGTTATCATTATTAAAAACTACGTCATTAACTTAAAACAAAGTTTGTTTTCTTGCTCATTCAAATATGTCATTTTGATCACATTATCTGATAAGACATCTTTTTTCTTGTCGCAAAATATCAGCGGCATAAAGGACCGAAAACATCTGTGGCCGATTTCAGCTAAAAAGTTAATTAATTGTTCCAAGAAATAGTGTTGTAATCAATGAGGAAGTAAATCTTAGGTCAATGGTTGTAATGCCTTCAGCAACCCCTAAAATGCTTGAGTACAAAAACAATGATACCAAACAATGCGATGACTAATACATCTACTTTAGCTGCTGTACCATAATTTTATAATAAAAATCTATTTAATATGAGAACAGCGAGATAATTACTGGCCCCTTGTTATTTGGTCACTCGATCAGTGACAAAAAATTTACATCTTACATTCTAGCAATAGCTTTGTACCTTACTGATATCATTAAAACCTTGAAAAATTTAATAGAACCTTATTAATTTTACTTTTTAGTATATTTTTATATATTTAAGTTTAACTTAAGTTTCTATATATTTGAGTTCTTGTTATATTATCTAGTACGTAATTACGATGATTAAATGTTTTTGTAGGAGAATAATAACGCAGACAAATTAAGAAAAGGAATATTGACAAGGGTCCTTCCTTACTCCTTTAAAACTTGCTTAGGAAGAAAAGCGTAGACGTGTTTTTTTTATTTTTGAGTAGTAATTTTTGTTGGTTGTTTTCCTAAGAAATACTATGAAACTAATGTAGTGTGATAAATAGAAAAACAAAGGTGATTAAGCATTTTGTTTTTTATTTATTGTGATAGTTTCACAAGTTTCTGGAACTAAAAGAGTATCGATCTACCTAAAGGATAATACCTAAATTCTATACTTTGTTTACTGGCAACTGGATGTCAAATGAAATTATACAAATGTCAATTTGTTATCTATTAGTTAACCCGTTCTCTTGCGGCTTTTTAATTTTGTAGATATCTCGTATAATAAGAAGAAATCGCGTGAAAATTAACATGGGTTGAGTAACAATATAGTTTACAACAATTTTCTGATTTTCAGTAGTCCGAATGAATGATTTAATAGAACTTTTATACATTTCAGCGGTAAACAGTGCCACGTCTTTCGTGTTATCGTCTATTTTGGCCCTGCTCATATTTTCTGGAATGCAAATGTACAAACCTCTTTTAATTAGGTCTCCAATGACTATAATACTAGGAGGTTACTTAGGTTCACTAATGTTCATGTTCTTCGTTACGGTATCCTTTTAATGTAAACATGTTTATAACATAGTGCAATAATGACGATTGATATCATGTTTTTCTAGACTGTTAACTATATCGGCCACTTTATGTTTGCTTCGTCTTTACAAATGTTGCATTTAAGTATTGGGATGTTTATTTTGAAGGCATTCCCAATGAAAGGCAGCACAGTTAGGTTAGAACACAATGGCGACTGACGGTTTAAGAATACGGAGTGTCATCATCCCTATTCATCCCGTGGGTGTCGTAAGAGACGACTAAGGGAGCAAATTAAGCAGGACCACAACACTGCTAAGAGAAGAGAAACTTTAAACAAACCCTGTACCAACTCGTCTGGCCAGCATAATAAAGTAGATCAAAACTTCCTTTCTAAGGAGAGGTGTATGTCCAGCAGTGGACTATTATAGTCTATTGATGATGATGATGTTCTGCATACACATTATCAGTGGTGCAATAGGCATTTAAGATATCTTTCTGTGGGAAATGTGTATTAACAAGTTTGCACTAATGCTGGCAAAGGTGGTGATTATAAGTAAAATTATTCAGAAAACATACAGAAGGCATCTTAACACCCCTGAACAAATGTGCATTCCCTTTAGTGTTGGGTTGAGATGAATTTTAATACTATAGCTTCCCTCATACTCATTATTGGATATGGCAATGGTGATTCAAAGAATATATTAAATCATCTAGTGAAAAGAAATGAAGCCTGAGTTAGCCTATTGATACATAGATAACTTTTGGTATAAATCACATAGATAGCCTTTAATAGCCCACTCCTTAAAAAGGAGGTTTTGGCGCACTATACCATGCTGGCCAGACGGGTCAGTCTTTACTGACCCGTCTGGTTGGTTTTTGGCTTGACACAAACCCTTTGGTTTGTGTCAAGTTTTCCTTCTCTTTGCAGTGCTGTTTGTTGCATAGTTTGCTCCCTTAACCAGCTCTTACGACACCCACAGGATGAATAGGGGGTGATGACACTCTATATTCTTACTCCATCACCATAAGGGCATTGTCTAACTATTGAAATAGTATTTAATACATGACAGATTTAATAATTTAACAATAAGCCTTTCATCCGTTATTGTAACTTCCTTACACAGTCAATAATAGGCAATTGGTAACCTGGAAGCAACATTGTTTGGTAAGAATTTCCAGCTGAAGTTGCCAGAAATAATCTTGTCTATGGCAATATCCTTAATTGCTGCTGGTATGGTCCACAGGATTTGTTTTACTACATGGTAAGTTTTGAGTATCCTTTTAAATAATATTACCATTAATATGTTGATCATGTCTACAGATTAAATATAAGTAGTACTTATATAAATATAATAAATCCCCTCTTTCTTCTATGTTGTGCACAAGTGCCCAACAGGAGTATAATTGATAATCAGCTTAAATTTTACAACTGTACAGCCTACATAATCAAAGGAATAAACTTGACCTTTAACAACAACAGTTCCGTGTGGTGACAGATTAAGAATATGGAGTGTCACCAACCCTATTCATCCTGTGGGTGTTAAACGAGTAGATGAGATGAAGAGACAAAGAGTACACTAAGGGAGCAACATCACTGCCAAGAGAAGGAAAACTTGAAACAAACCCTATACCAACAAGTCTGGCCAGGGCGATATAGTAGGCTAAAACCTCCTGTCTAAGGAGAGGCCTATGTCCAACAGTGGACTATTAAAGGCTGTTGATGATGATGACCTTAACTAATAGCTTTATGTGCCACCACAATAGTGGCATAAAAATATCTAATAATGGTTGTTGGATTTTTAAGTTTTTAATTTTTTTGCTTCTGTAAATGTCTTAAATCGTCATCTCTCACAGGCTATATAAAATATTATATTTATGGGCAAATTAGCCTGCCCATTATTTTATGAGAGTAAGATGTGATTACTGATATGAATCTTTATTTTGTTTCAGTTTGATATTTTCAATTATCACAATCTACTATATGAACAAGCTCTCACAAAAAGCTTATGTTACTGCAGCTCCTGCTGCTGCACCTATCAAGAGTCGACGCCACAAATAGAGTTATAAAATTGTGTAATTTTACTAAATCATTTTATATCAATAAATTTTGCATTTTAATAAGTTTATATGTGAATTTATTTTATACCTGGAATTTTATTCAAAAAATTCTAGTAAGTCAGTTAAATAAGATTTTCATAACAATCAATTTGAAAATGACTGCTCTTTGAAAGATATCACAGCTCTAAATTAATATAAAACATTTTCAGTCATTAATACATTACATGTTCCTATTTCAAAGTAGAATCTCCTTTTGTTTAAATAAATATAAAACATTTTCAGTCATTAATACATTACATGTTCCTATTTCAAAGTAGAATCTCCTTTTGTTTAAATAAATATAAAAATTGTAGAAAATATTTATTATAAAAAAATGTAAAAATAATAATGTTGTAGTTAAATACTTTGTTAGAAAAAAATATTTATTAACAAAAATTAGTTCCAGACAAAAAGGTTAGTTAACTTAGTGTTATAAACATACTTTTCTCTTAACTGGCTTAATATAAAATTACTTAAGAGTGAGTAGTTTATATAGAAAAATAAATTATCCATCTGATATAAATGTAACTTAATAAATAAACATCTATCAAAAAAGAAAAATTTAATACAGGCCTTTTAATTAAATAATTTATCATGTATTCTTAAAAGTTCATTCTTAATCTAATGTTAATTTGTTCCATTTTGTCTTTTGAACAAATATCACAAAACCATTTTAAGGAAGGATAATATAAATCAACTATTTTGCTTAACTACCTTAATTATTCACATATATTTTATGTCTATGACACAGATTATAAAAAATGATAAAAAATCCTCAGATCCATAGGACAAATAAATAGGTATGAATATCTAATAACTTTCTTCATTAAGTAATACTTCTTTAATTATTCTACAATTTTAAATAAAACATTCTTTAATAAAATCTACACCATTATCTATTTATTGCACTGAGGCATTTCTTACCAGGTAATTATATTCGTTTTATTTAAAATTATGTGATAACTCATATGAGGTTTGCACTTAACAATACTTAAAAAAATGTTAACACTACCAAAACATTATTACCAAAGCAGTGATCAACCTCATTGGATGGATTCTTTAGGTACTTAAGGCATACATGTGAAGAATTGATTACTTTCTATCAAAGACAAGTGAGTCATGACATGTTAAACTTATGATTCATACATTCCAAATGTGTCATTATGAGTCTTATTACTTATCTGATATCGACTGATGAGAAGCTCTTTTATATGTATGATAAAACTATATCTTTTATACAATACTTTTTTTTAAATAAGCAATCTGTTCAAATTAATACTTTCAGTTAGTTGTTGCTGTTTGTTTAATTATGTTTTACATGTATAAAATTTGGCACTAAATTTTAAAATTCAAATGCTTTTTGATGTAACTAGAGTGAGATTATATTCTCATCTATTCTTAAGGCAGTGACTATATTCTGTATGCTTTTGAAATTAATACACTTGTAGACTAACTAAACATCAATTATATTCAAATGTGACCTTCAAATATACTATTTAAAACAGTGGCTAGATTCTGGTACATTACTTATCATATTTGCAATTCATCTTGATCAGATTTTTTTGTATTTAATGATAAGATAGGTGTCTTATATGTAAATTTACATGGTATGATATATATATATATATGTATATATATATTAATATGATGGAAAGAAAAATTGTATTATCTATCACAGACTTATTCAAATATGTAAGGCACTAATTCAAAGTGATTAGATATCAAATTAGAAAAAACTTAAAGTATAATTTAACAGTACAATGATTTAGATTTAGGTTGACTGCAAATTATGTAATATATTGCTGGAAAAACCCGAATTCTACATTCCATTTGTAAATCTTGTTCCACATAACAAGTACACTTAATCATTTAATTAAGTAACATAATGTTGTATAAATAACAATATTAGTGTTACATAAAACATTGAACAGAGTGAAGCATGCCACTTAAATTTTTGCAATCATGCACATGATGACTTAGTATTATTACTGAAGACAGTTAAATTGAAATTATTTATTTCTAATATGCATGCTGTTATTTCGTACATATGGATTCTGTAGGATTTTTGGTGTTGTCTCCATTACTCTAAGTAACAGTTCATCTAGATAGTTTTCCAGGTCCTTGTTTTTCTTCTTTTCTGATTGAACATCCTTTTGTAAATTGTACACCATGACAATTAGTTCTTCTCGTGACTTGCCATCAAAATCTTGCACTATTGATTTAGGGATACTATTGTAAGCTGGGTTAATAGAATCTTCTTCAGCTATGTTCTCTTCTCCCACTATGATGCGTTCCTCTAGTAATTTCTTTTGTTTGTTAGTATTACCAAATTTCTTGAAAAACTTGGGACTTGGTTTATCCTTCAGAGAATTTGGACTGTCAAGTTTTTTATTTCTCTCTAGACTTGAAGACTTTTCTTTGTCAATTGCTAGTTGACTGTTTGATTTTCTTCGAGAGTAAAGTTTTTGTGACCACTCATCATTCTTGTCAATCACTTGTGCTGGTAATTGAGGTGCTGTGAATGTGTCAAGACTTAGCCGGACAGGTTTCTGCGGTGCCACCTTTTCAGGTACTACCAAATTGCTACTGGTAGACCTCCTCAAAAATTCACCACCCCCTAAGTTTTCTAATGAAGCATTATTTGGTGATGGTGTATACTTATGTCCCCTGGGTAAAGTTTGAACATTTATAGAGCTACCAGAGCTTTTATGGGATAAATCATCAAATGCAAATTCATCTTCATCTTCACTTATGACTCCAGGATCAGCCTCTCCTGATAATCTTTTGGGAGTGGAATGTTCAGGAGTAGAAAGAGCTGATGTTTTAAGGTTTCCGATGCTACCACTGAGAGATGAAGAGTCACTTTTCTTGTCCTTTTTGTTCAAATTCATTTTAGAGCCAAGATTTTTTGCAAACTTTTTAATGCTCTTTCTTTTTTCAATACTACCAATGCTCATGAGACTACCGCCTACATTTTGGGCAATGCTTGACAAAGAAGATCTATGTTTATCTTTCTTACTCAAATCAGTCAAACTGCCTTCTTTGACTGTGAAAGAAATTTTGACCTCTAATTCACCTCGTGACTTGTCGCTTTCTTTACCAGATTTGCCTTGGAGTTTATACCAACGGCTTCTTGGTCGTTCATAAACATCGAGGTCTTTTAACGGAATCGATACTTGACCTAGTAAATGGTCTTTTATTAAATCTTCATCGTAGACTTTAAGAACGATCTCGGCAGTATTTCCTTGTGAGGGTATTCGCAGTTCACATTCTTCTATCCATTCGACATTCTGAGTCGCTTTGTGTTTGACGGAAGTTTGGAATTTATCTTTACCGAGAGCGATCGTAACAAAACAGTTATTAGTACCGTTTTTACCTTTGATCAGTAGTCCCCGTGCTTTTTGGATGGTGACTTGAACGTGAGTAGGATCCCACATCTTTAAATGATGAATTGAATCACTACACCACTAGAAAAAATATAAAAACTTTATAAATGGCATCGAAAACAACGTAACGATGAGCTGTCGAACGTCACTTACTTAAACTACCATTCCATTCCATTCCACTTTTTAATTTGCGCGACGTTTCGTTCATACTGAATGCAGACGTCAAGCATAGATCAGTATCAGAACAAATATTTTAATAAGCGCGGTGTAATATAATAATATTAAAGAAATAAATATTAAGGATATATTTCAGTAGACTGTACAATATGGTACGTACGAATAGATAATATAAAATACAAATTACCAATTCTAGGTGAAACTGGCAGCACCAAAAGCTTTAAACATTACATTACATTTTCAGAAACAATCATGCTAAAGTAAACTTATTATTCCCTGATCAATATACTAAATCATTACAGCAAAGCAAATACAACAACAGTACACTGATAAACTGACACTAACGTGCATTAACAAATATTATTATATTTTTAATCTGTGGTTATACTCAATTATATTTACAGTTTTCCTTTTACCTAAACTTATACATTGGCGGTTATGTTATATTAATTTTGAGGCGAAGTACCACAAATTAATAAACAGTATACAAAACAGCGTCTTTTATCAGGAAACAAGTAAACAAAGTGCATGATTATGGAGATCGCGAGCCGAAATGCTCGAGAGATAAACGACGATTACTTAGAGATGGTCACTCTCTCGAATACTGTTTAGTATAGTAGTTAACTGTCAAGTTAAACCAGTATCTTTTTTTACTACCGTCAAATCCTTTTTCTAGAAGAATATGAGACGTCATACTTTGCTATCGACAAAACGGTACTTTGAATGTTTGTTAGACATAAAATAATAATAAACTTGGAGATAGTATGTACGCTTCATGTGCCTGTCCTAGTGACGTCTCCAAACATACGATGAACATAGGCGTACGCGACATTGCTTCTTCGGGCTACACTAGCTCAGCTAGTGCAGTCTCAGTCTCGGTTTCCCATGTGAGACTTGCAGTATCTTTACCTCATTGCCCCGCCCTATCGGCTTTCATACTCTCATTTACCTTCTTATTTTCTTTCCAATTGAAAACTATAACTGAACTATAAAAAAAGTGACTGGCTATAAAATAAATCCGCTGAAACCTCTTGCAATGTTTTACATTGCACCGATTCTACGAGTAAATAAAATTGAGAAAAGGACAGGAAAATGTGGATGATGTTCAAGAAAATATTGAATAAATCACTTTTTTTTTCATTTTAATTTATGTGCAGTTTAGTATTGTTTAGATCACTGTTCATCAACGGTATTTCGTAGTCTACTCCTGTACATAAGGATAGTATATTCTTTTCGAATCGTCTAATATCTCAGTTTTATTTAAAAAAAAAATAATGTTGAAAAAACACGGCTAGTCCGTGTGACTATCTACATCACTGAATTATAGGTACAATAATTCACAAACCACAAAATGAGTAGTAGAATGAGACAGAACATAAACAAATAATAAGTTAACCGCAAATTAGGAATTTAAAATAGGAAGAAGTTTCAAGGTTTACGAACGAGAAATCAACTTCCTTTTAAACACTTTATAAATAAAAGCAGTTGCTTTACAAAGAGAACTGATTGAAATTGAAAAAAAGGAAGGAAGTTCTGTTTTTTGTACATTATTGTACCTATTCAGTGTCGTGTTTTAGGACTTGAAGCCCCACAATAGAAACCATCTCATAATGAAAAAGTCTTAAAAAAGACTTCACTTTAGTATTTAAATACTATTTTACAATTTCGAAAATATTCATTTAAACTACATGCTGTTAAGGGCCATATTGATCTATATTTTTTTTAAAGGCTTACTGTCAACCGAAATTACTAGTACTCCCGTTAGCCCCTCCAGCAAAGCTAAATTACTTGTGTTAAGAGTGGGTTCACGTCGGTAGTGTACTGGTCAGGATTCGAACCCACGACCTCTTGATCGCAAGTCCAATGCCTTAACCATTAGACTACCGCCACTTATCTATACTAATATTATAAAGCTGAAGAGTTTGTTTGTTTGTTTGTTTGAACGCGCTAATCTCAGGAACTACTGGTCCGATTTGAAAAATTCTTTCAGTGTTAGATAGCCCATTTATCGAGGAAGGCTATAGGCTATATATCATCACGCTAAGACCAATAGGAGCGGAGCACACATGAAGAATGTTTCAAAAACGGAGAAAATTTATTACTATTGAGAGCCGCAGACGAAGTTGCGCGGGTCAGCAAGTATTATTTTATTAATTGCACAATATATTTAAGATACTTAATTGGATATGGCGGCTGTATTTCTTAAAATCGATTCATAAATAAGCCATTATTTCTCGCAAAAAGTAAAGGATTAAAATGTTTTTTGTGGAATATCCCTAAATAATATACATATCCCATTGCGGAGTACTATCCCACTCGTAGAGTTCAGCCAGCTTTTGCAATGTAAGCGCAAAAAATTAGTTTATTTACGACATCACATTAGAAACCTCTAAAACTATCAGTGTTTCTCTACTATCTTATGCATGTATTATACATATAAAGCTGCTTCTTAAATCACTCTGTCTATTAAAAAGCTACATCAAAATCCGTTGCGTAGTTTTAAAGATCTGAGCATACATAGGGACAGACAGACAGCGGGAAGCGACTTTGTTAATTATACTCGTACTATGTAGTGATACCTAAGTATTATTTGCACCTTAAAATAACATATCTACAAAACACAGACGATTACATTAAAATCGTTTTTTGATTTTGATTGTATTAGATACAGTTCATTACTTGCCGCTTGCCGCCTATAATGTCCCTTAATACACTGATCATTTAATTTGCGAGGTTTTTATAAGTAGTAGAAATAAATATTAGACATGTTAATTCTTGTGTTGTCAAAAATATCACAAAAGTTTCAATACGTAACTATTGCTCAAGTACCTATTATTATAATGAGTGTAACTAAATATTACTTTAGAATACAGTTCTCAGTAGGTGCAAAAATAGACTTGATTTCAAAATATATACAGATACTACAACTAATAACATAGACTTAATTAAAAACTCTAATAAATATTTGCAAATTCAATAATAAACAGCCTCTTAGTTCAGATGTTATAGTTGTAAGTGCTTTTTAATTTAATAGCAGACTAAAGGTCAAAGACGAAATTAAATTAGGTATAATGCAATAAGTAGCTACTTGGGTACTTATTGGATTATACCCAATCGATAATAATCCATTTTAATATACATACCAATGAACATAAGTACAGTACTAGGTCTTCCTTAAAAATATTTTTACATTCGACTGGGTATATTAAAGTTAAATGAGTAAAATGAGTCGGTTGTTCTCATTTTACTCATATATTTATAGGTACCTTGATAAAGTTCTAAAGAATTATAATTCAATGAGATAATGCCCATTATTCTTGTATTTGTGCACGTAAAATAAAAGAAAAACAACACGAGAGGCAAGAGCCATTTTTGAGTTTGAGTAAAAAAAATTACTTCAGTAGCTGATTCACAATTAACTTCAAGAAAAAAAAAAAACTGTACCTAAATAAAATTGTTAAGTGTCAGTCAGAAATATTGTAAACTCAAGTTTAACTGCCTATCCAAATTTTAATTGGGAGAAGGTAAATAGAAGCGTAATGGATACTTTATATAACAAAAGTAAAACGTGAACCATTTGTTTTCTATTCTAAGGCACCTTTACTTTAAATTGAATGACCTGCTAAAATTAAAAATTTGTACATTAAATTGAATAATTTGTTATTTAAAGTTGTCATAATCGCTCTGATTATAGGTATTTCGCACGAAAGTTAAATAAACATAACGAGCTGTCTTGAATTCTTTCTTTGAATGATGTCGACCAAATAAGTTGAAATCTAGAGCGATTCATATTTGTTTATTTTACTGATTTCCATTGTACATTACTTCTACCTACGACCAGTATAGGGTACGTATTTAAACTGTAAGTAAATAAAAGCATACTTACAAAATAAGTATGTTCTTATTAGTTACCGTCAGTACAATCAGAGAAATATTGACCTCTTGCCCCCTTGCCTTGTCTGATATGTCCTGACCCAGAGCAAGAAACTGCTCAAGGCGCCCCAAGACCACAGCTTACTTTTCATGCCTTTCATTATAAGTGTTATTACCTACCTTTGATCTGATCAAAGTAGTTTCAAAATCTTCTTTAATCAACAACAAAGTTTTTTTTTTTCAATAACACTACTAAACCACTGGTGCTGGTGTTGGTGATTCGATTAGTCTTCAACACTCATTAGGTACCATTTCAGTAATTGTACGTCCAGTACTGACATACAGACTGACCCAATGAATGGATGTCATGTCATGAATAATATTTAGCAACAAAGGAGTCACCTGACCTAATAGCCCAAACCGGCCCATATGAGCTGAAGCATGACTCGAATACAAAAACGTTTAGCAGTGAATAGTATCCTCTAACTCTAAATTATTTTTTTATGTGGCTTTTGATGTGGCTTTTTAATAGACAGAGTGATTCAATAAGAAGCTTTATATGTATAATACATGTAGTTTAAATGAATATTTTCGAAATTATAAAATAGTATTGAAATACTAAAGTGAAGTCTTTTTTAAGACAAAACGTGCTTTTCAGCGCGAGATTCCCGGTACCGGTAGTCTACGGCGCGAGCTCTGGCCTCGGCCGAAGCCCGTCCACATATACGGAGCTGCTTCGCGCGGCAAATGGCTCGCAAGGCTGCTCGCTCTGTGTGGACTAGCCTATTGAAATGCTTACAATAGGTATAATATAATTTGTCAATAGATAGGTAAAATATATTTCAGAGAGAATTTATTGGTTTTCGCTGAGATCCGTTTCAGTTGAGTTCATTCGATATCTTTTAATACTATGAATAGTAACGTTAAAATACTTCCTTTTTATTAGTCACAAAGATGGAAAAAATAACGATCCGATACCGTAAGTCGCGTAAAAGAAGTAAAGAGCAATTTAATTGAAACGGGTAATTGGAATCTTTGACTTATTATTATAACCACAGTTTGTAAAATTGCGCCAATGTTACAAAACAATTGCCTTTTTTTTTTTTTTTTTTTTTTCCGTGCGGAATCCCCTCGGATACCACCTGTCGGTGGCATGTCGGACTCGAACCGACTAAAACCGCACGCCGTCTCGGGTACTAATAGCCGGGGAACCAGGTATACCCTAGAAAGGAAGTCCCTGGTACCCCGACATACCTCGGGTCATCTACAGACGAGTAGACGACCCCCCCCCCCCGTGTGGGAACCCTATGTTCCCTGTGCTCCCTGGAAGCGAGCGCGCTTCGCAACGCGCTCGCCGCCACCCCGGCCTGCTTCTGCTAGGGTGACAGATGGCCTCACCTGTCACCCCCAGGCCTGCGCTTATTGAGGACGGAGGTCGTTCTGCGACCTCCGGCGCCTGAGTCGCCTGCGGTACCTGGCCCGTTCACGGGCCTGGCGGGCCGGGAGAGTCCTAAACCTCTCCCGGTCCCGCTCCGCCGTCTCCTTCGCGAGCATAACTTGCTCGCAGAAGGAGACGGCAGAGTTCCACGCACTCTCGCTCCGCACGATAGCCGCAATCAGGCTATCGAGCGAGAGAACTCCCACTCTGATGGCCGCCACGAGGTCTCGCCTCTGCTCAGCCCACGCCGGGCACTCTGCCAGCGTGTGGAGAGCCGTGTCCACGGTCTGGCCATCGCAGTGGTGGCACTCAGGCGTTGGCTCCTTGCGGATCAGACACAGGTGATCCCCGAAACATCCTTTCCCAGTGATCACCTGCGTCAGTCGGTATGAGAGGGTCCCGTGACGCCTCTCGAGCTAATCCTCCATAACGGGTCTTACCGCCGCGATGACGGCGTGCCCGACAAAACAATTGCCTAGCATTGACTTAGTACGGACATTTTTGTTGTTGGTTGTTATAAATCAATGTATTACTTCTGGACCAAGTTTTAACTGCGTATAGTTACAAAACCTAATACATGGGACTGACATGTACGAATGTATAAAGTCCCTAACAATAAATAAAGAAAAAAAACCTAATACGAATGAAACAGCTATGAGTTTGTTATTGTTTGATGTTTATTTAATTTGTATTGATTACTTGTGTCTAATGCAATGGTCGTGCTTATAAGCGTTCAATAAACAATGCATCATTATAATATCATTCTTAACTTACGCAAACAATTCATTTTCTATCATGGGTAGCTACTCTACTATCTCTCATGCCAAAATGTCACGAAGTAGGCCTATTAAAAAATTTATATTGCTTATAATTCTAGCTTTTGCTGGGGAATCGGCATCATCATACGCATCTGCAGTTTATTTTAAATGTCTACATTATATTGTTGATTTTTTTTAACTTTTTAACAACTCCCGCACACATCACACATCACATCAATAGTCTTTAATAGTCCACTGCTGGACATAAGCCTCTCCTTAGAAATGAGGTTTTAGCCTACTATACCACGCTGGCCAGACGGGTTGGTATAGGGTTTGTGTAAAGTTTTCCTTCTCTCTGCAGTGCTGCTGTTCTGTGTAGGTTTTACCCTTAGTCGGCTCTTCTTTGTTTGTTTATTTTTATTTTTTATTTGTTTATTTTAAATCCGTCACGACACCTCACCACATTACAATTTGTCTGACAACTCCCGCATTAGGAATATATCCTGTGTCGCAGGGGACTTCACAAACATACACAAAGAACACCATCCGTGCAGCCTTAACAGTCTCCTGCTGGACATAGGCCTCACCTTAGAAAGGACCTTTTGACCTACTATCCACGCTGGCCAGACGGGTTGGTGTAGGACTGGTTTCTCCTGCGCCGGGCCCTCATTGCAGTCATCGGAGGGGACCTCTCGCTACCGGCCGTCATACGCTCCATGGCCGGCAGTGACAGATGTTTTACCGCGGTTGCATCCTTCTGTGAAGACGTCATTTCGCAGAAGAAGGCGGCGGAGAGGGCCCGGGAGGATGACCTACACTCGGACCCAATTCGCCGCCAGCGAACTGGGCGGCGAAGGCGCGCTTAAAAGCGCCTCATGCCGTCTTGAGTGTGGCTGCGTGTGGACGGGACGGGTTTTCCCCTCCACCCGCCGTAATGGCCAGCCGCGAGGAGGTGACGTCCGCGTGTGCCGCACGTCACCTAAATAGAGAATGTACCCGTAGGTGGTGCCCACACAATTGCGGGCAGGCGCTGATAGGGGTCCGGATGTCTTAATAACAGCATTATCGGATCCCTCCTATTACAGGCGCAGAGTGGCACACCATGTGGTTTTAGTCGGTCCGATTCCGACATACTACCCCGCCGCAAACCCCGGTGGGGTGACGTCCCGAGGGGTTTCCACACGCGAAAAAAAAAAAGGATTGGTTTCAAGTTTTCCTTGTCATTGCAGCTCCCTTGTCTTGCGTGGTTGCCCCTTAGCTGTTACGATACCCACGGGTTGAATAAGGATGATGACACTCCGCGGTCTTCATCCTTCACCACACAGAATCTTACAACAACTACGGGATGAATAGAGGTGGCTCGTGAGGAAATTATATTGTTTTTTTTTCCTAAAACTTTCTATAGTAATTCATTATATTCATGAAACGAGAGTTTTTGAAATAATATTTAATGATTTAATGTAGGACTTTTTGAGTAATAAATACTACTACTGTATCGTATCTCCTTTAAATAGTATTCTCGCTTATATAGTACTATTTATCACGTTCTTGAACCCATTCCATCTCTAGGTTAAATTCTAACTTCCACTCCGATCTTTGTATTTCATCATTTTCAGCATTTTTTGGTCATATGGCTTTTATCTTTTCTACGAATGGTTGTATAGTATTCAAGGTTCTTGTAATCTTAATCGTATTAGTGTTTTTTTTTATCAAGTATTACTTAACATTGTTCTTTGATGATAATGGATGGTTACTGCTCGATAGGTAGAAAAACCTTGATATGCTGCTGTAAGCTGTGATTTAGTGAAAATCTTTTAGGGCCTGCAAGCATATCAACATAAGTCAATTTCCTTAATCATCTAGTTATTTCATAAATTAACTTTGGTTTTCATCTAGTCCTCGCTTTGTCGAATTCTCTTTTCATCTTACATAGTTCATTACGGCATCTCCAGTTCCAGAGTTTTAACCATGTTTCTTAAAAATGGATGGCTTGTTCTACGTATTTGGTATTTGTCTCACTACTGTTGACACAGTTGGCTGGGAAACTCATCATCATCATCATCATCTGCCTACCCTTTTCCCAATTTTATTTGGGGTCGGCGCAGTATGTATGATTTTTCCATTCTACTCTGTCATGCGTCATCTCACTGTTTACTCCCTTCCTAGCCATATCCTCCCTCACGCAGTCCATCCACCTTTTCTTCGGTCTGCCTCTTCTCTTGTACCCTTCAACTCCCATACCTAAAACTTTCTTTGCCCTTCAGTGTTAAGGGGAAACTGGGGTCACAAGTTGTTCCCGTTACCTGCCGCCACTTCATCCATCCCGTATTGATTCGATGCTGTACAGTTCGATCAATCTCACCATCACATTGTAAGAGGGAGCCGAGGTACTTGAAATTGGAGCAGACTGTTATCGCTAACCCATCCAGTGAAATGGTTTCAGGACTGGAGAGACCGCCGAAATCGCAAAACATGTACTCAGTTTTGGTTCTGCTGATTTTCAAGCCAACATTCTCCAGCCTTTGTTGCCATTTTTCCAGTCTGCTCTGGACCTCAACCCCATCCTCACCGACCAACACAATGTCATCTGCAAATAGCATGCACCAAGGTGCCTCCTCCTGTATGTCCGATGTCAGAGCATCCATTATCAACAGGAAGAGGGATGGGCTCAGAGCTGATCCCTGGTGCAAGCCAACAGAGACACTGAATTGATCAGTGTTTCCCGTGACCGACCTTACATGAGTGCTAGACTCTCTGTACATAGCACGAATCAATTCTACATACTTAACAGGCACTCTTTCTTCTTTCAAAGCCCACCACAAAACCTCTCGGGGTACCCTATCATATGCCTTTTCGAGATCCACAAACACTATATGCAAGTTTTTGTGCGCACTCCTGTATTTCTCACATAGTTGGCGCATTGCAAATATAGCATCTGTTGTCCCGCGTCCTGGCATAAACCCAA